TTTATAATTTTAAATATAATTTAAATAGATAACTGTCTAAATAGCTTTATAAACTACTTGTTAAAAGATTATTTAGGTTTTCAAACACAAAATATTTTACAAATCATAATTCTTTATTCAAATTATATTTATATTAATAATTAGCTAAATAATAAATAGTATAAAGCAATATCAGTATAACCAAAGTTATCTCTTCCTTATTAAAATTGCTTTTTATCAACATACTAAAAGTAAGAAGACCAATATTAAATACAACCATTAAAAATGAGAAATGGTCAGGATCTAGCACATTACATTTCAAAAGAGAATTTTAAGTTAAACTATTAAAATAAGTATTGGTAAATTCTTTTAAACTTCTAACGTATTTAATCAAAATATTTTTCTCAATTTTAAATACCAAATTATTTTCTAAATAATTTTAATGTTTTTATAATAAATTAATTATTTGAAATATTTACCTTAAAATCTTAAAATAAATAACTCTATCAATATATTTAAAATATATAATTATCATACTTTAAAGAGTAAAAAATAATAAGCAAATTCTTTACCAATCAATATATTTTTAATTAATGAATTAAATTAGCAATATAACTTTAATTTAAATTGAAAAGCATTTATTTAAATGGCATAATATTTGGATTTCAAGTAAATCCTCAACTTAAACTAATAGTTTCAACTAAAAAGTTTTATTTTATATTATTAAAATAAATTTAAATTTTAAATAAATAAATAATTTGGAGATAATTAAATAAAAATTCAATAATTAATATACAGCATAAAAAATTATTCTCAACTAATATTTATTGTATTTATTTTCTTTTTTAAAATCTTTAGTTTTCTTAAAACAGCTAGACAAGTTAATAGTAAGGCAATTTCTACAACTAACTTATAACTCTCCACTGATTAATAATAATCATTTAATAAAGACAATGATACTAAATTAATCATTCAGCAAAATAAGGACATCATAAATAAATTATCCTAACCAAAACTAAATAAGTTAAGAAATGCTCTTTTAATTGGATAAAAAGCAAGAATTATAAAAATTTTGTTGAAAGAAAATACAATATCTAACAAAAAGAAATCATAATTGTTTGGAGGTAGTAAAAATCTAAAAAATCTTAATAGCGATTAAAAAACAATCTTTAAGAAAAATAGAAAAAAAATTAGCTCATTAAAAAGTACAAATGTAGAGGAAAACAAAATTAAAGTTGAATTTGATGAAACTTAAAATGAAAAAAATTATTCTAATACTCAATAAGGAAAATATGATAAATTAAATAAGGAACTAGAAGAATTTTTTTTAAATTGGCCCAAGTATATAGAAATAATCGACTAAACTTAGAAAATGAAAAAATAAAAAATTTTAGATGGATAAAAAGGAAAATAGCATTAAAGCACTACAATTATCTCATAATCATCATAAACAGCTTTTCAGTTATCAGACTAAGGTATTTGCATTTCTAATAAAAATACGTCTTCCTAATTTGGATAAAAAGGTGTTGAGAGATATTAAACTCTCAAAGAAATGATAAATGCCAAATAATAAAATGAAGAAAGTAAAAAGAAACAACCATTAAAAAAAAAAATTCTTGATAATGATTCTGAGCAATTTTTAAGATAAATATTTAAATTAAATGATCATATAGACAGTGGATTGGAAGCAGATATATTTGCAAATCAAAATGATGACAATATAGTATATAGAGTAATTAAATTAGATAGAGATTAGAATCTGACTAAATAAGGAAGAGAAATATTAAGATTTTAGGAATTAGAAGAATAAAATATTTTAAATATAACTAGTTCTCATTTAATAGTAGATAAAATTAATAAGACTGATTATATCATTTAAATTATCTAAAAATGTTAAATGAGTCTTAAAGATGAAATATCATCAAAAAAAGTTTATAGTCTTAAAGAAACTTTAAAATTTATTTCCACTGCATTTCATTTATTGATTGTACTTAGATAAAAATATATCTATCATTCAGATATTAAACCAGGAAATATCTTAAAAACTGATGATAATAATTACAAATTATCTGATTTTGGTGCTTCATAGTAAGTTGATTTTATTAATCCTTTTTGTGATTATGAAATGTATACAGAAGGATATACACCAAAAAATAGAGATAAAAATTTACCTTTTTATCATGATATCTATTCTATTGGTAAAACTATCCAAAAATTATTAATGTAATTAGAAAATCACTCAGAAATTTATGATTGTTTAAATAAATTTATTGATGAAAAAATTTGTAAAGATGATGAAAATTCTATTTATATAGATTGCTTTAAGTTGCCAAGAAAGTTTATAAATATTTTAATGAAATTTACTAATGATGAAGTTATTGAGGTATTCTTAGAGGAATATTTAAAATAGATAGAACAATACTTAGTTATCAAAAAAGAAAATAAAGTATTTCAGTATGAATCATAATATTAATATGCTGATATAGCTCTTTTGATTGTTTCATAAAAAAGTCAAGATAGCAATAAGCAGAATCAGTTAAATCCAATTAAAATTAAGGCACTGATAACTAAAAGTTATATTTTATGTAAAAGAAAACAATATGAAGAATCTCTCTAATATATTAACGAAATTTTTAGAAAAGATTTTGAAGATGATAGTTAGTCAGAAATCCTAATAAAATCTATTAGAATTGTAACTAAGATCTTAATAAAGCTAAATAATAAGACAAAATTATCTTAAGAAAATTAAAATAAACTGATTGAATTAATTAAATTAGTTAATATAAGTGAAGAATTTGATAAATTAAAAATAAAGATAATAGAGCTTCTATTGCTAAAATCAAATGATATATATCCAATTATAAGAGATTTTTATGATTCTCTTGAAAAATAAAATAAAAACTAGGATTTTCATATGCTTGATAGGGTAATTATCAAATTGATTAGGTATTTAAGAAAGTAAAATTGCTATGACTAATCTCTTTACGAAGTAATTTAATTTATTGAAGATGATAATACGAATGATGGTTCTTATTACAAATAAAAATTACTGAAAGAAATGGGCCTATGTCTTTACAAATTTCTTTTTTAAAAAAATGAATAGCTAGATATTAAATTTTTTGTTAAATATGAAAAGGAAATTTTAATCTTGCCATTATTAATTTTGAATTGCTTGAATATCTATAAGCCAAAATCAAATTTATAAATTTATTTTGATAAAAGTATTTGGTAATTATATTCAATATTTATAAAGCTATAAGAATTAAATATTTATAGCTTTGTTTAATGCAAGAGAGTTTTAAATAGTTTAGAATAAAAATATAAAAATATAATGGTTAAAATAAAAAAAGATAACTAATTGCCATATAAAGAATATAAAATTAATTACTATGAAAAGTATCTTAAAAAAAAAGAAGAAAAAAAATATTAGTTTTTTAATGAAGAAGAAATTAGCAACAAAGAAAAAAAAATAATTGAATCAATAAGTCTTATTTAATAAACAATTGGTAAGGATAACAAAGAAATTTTAAAAGAAATATAGAGTGAGAGTTTGCTTAATTCCATAAATTACTTTGAAAGCGAAAGAATAAGTCTTACATATTTAGGTTCTTTGGAAAAATTTAATGAAGAGTTAGAATCACTTAATTCTTAGCTCAATTTTTATAATATAATACATTACAATCCAAAAAAGTAATTATTTAAATTAAAATCGCTTTGCTTATAAAGAAATTTAAATTTATTTATTTTTAATAATTTTCTTTTTATGTCAATGTTTAATTTTAGTTATTATTAAACTACAATAAAGCTTGCATGAAAAAGATATTATTTTTGAAGAAATTACGAGTTTGAATGTTGAATTATAAGATAGATGTGATGAAAGTAAATTTTAATTTGAGAAGGAAGGATCTTTAACTTTAAGAATATAGTAAAATTATTTGGTTAATTAATTAAATTGAATAAATTACAAATTTTTTTAAATTCTTCATATTTTTTAAATTTTAAATATTTTACTAAAAAGTAAATAAATTTCATGATACATTTTTGATTATTTATTAATTGCTCAAAGACATATTTATAAATTATTTTATTAAATAAAATATTATAGAACACGTGAATATTTTAGTTAAGAAGATATTTCAGTTATTACTTTTTTTACATCAAATTTGAGAAAAGTACAAGCTCTCAAATTGAAATTCAAATATATGTAAGCAATTCTGTTTAAAAATTAAATTAATTTTTATAATTTAAATATTATTATTTATAGAGAATTAGGCGATAATATATTTCCTAATTTGTAATCTTACTAAATGAGTGATTTCTAATTTTTAGAGGAAGCTAAAATTCTAAATAATATCACTCAATTAACACTTGATTTTAGGTAATTAGTTTTTTTATATTAGAAAGTTCACTTTTTTTTATTCTAAATTATATTTTTACTTTTCTTTCTTTGCAAATAAATAAAATCGATATGATTTTATGTATTTAAAATATATGATAGATTTCTTAAATTATGTACATCTTAGATATCTAATTATATAAAGTTTAAATAATTAAATTTTAATTTATTTTATCTATCATATAATTTTTAAAAGAAAATTTAAATAGAAATAATACAATTAATTCATTTAAGAATTTATTTTTTCTTCTTTAAATAACAATAAAAGATATTCTTTTATTTTAGCAATTTTTTTATTAAATATCAAACCAGTAGTTTTATGAAAAAAAAATTATGACCAGTTTTTAAAAATTATGTTTATTTTATTTTATTAATTTTAATAGTGAATATCCCGAGTTAGAAATACTGGATTAATGTTAGTAGAATTATTATAAAAATATGTTAGAAGATTTTTAGTAGAAATGCCCAAGAATTACTGAATTAAATGTTAACTTTGGATAGTAAATTATTTAATTTATTTAATAAAAAATTATTAAGAATTTCAATATTTCAAAACAATAATTAATTAATATTAGTATTCATTCTTAAATTAAAAACTTAACCTTTTAAAATTATTTTAAATGAAATGATAAAAAAATTAATAATTATGGTACTTATATTATCGTCAAAGCTATTTTAATAAAAAGCCACAGCGATATTGTTAAATTAAACCATAATCCATCACAATAAATTTAAGCTGATTTTAATAAATACTTCAATTTTAAATTCAATGAGTTAACATTTTATATAAAATATAGGAAAAGTTTATGTCTTTATGAGAGTTTTTAAATATTTTTTATGTTTGCTAGAGATTGTGAAGAACTTACTTCATTAAACTTTGAGTTAAAGTAGTTTCAATTTTAATTTTTCTATTTATTTTAAAAGGTCAAAAATAATTCTTTTATATTAATTAAAAAAATATTTATAATGATAGGTTTAAAGATAATGAAGTAACTGAATATATTTAAGATACTCTTAAACAAATATATGATCGTTTAAAGATTTCATTTCCATTTACATGTACATAAACTGACCTCAAGAAAATTATTGATATTAGAATTAATTTAAAGTAATTTTCTTATTATTATTTCAGTAAAATTTAATATTTACCAAAATTTTAAAAAATAATAATAACTGTGATTTCAATTAATTTAACTTTTTTACCCAAATGATGTTTGAGGTTTAGGTAATACTAATAAAAATTTTAAGTAAGAAAGCTTTAATTGCTAATTAAAAATTAATTAATTAAAATGGATGAAAATTTAATTTTTGAACTTTTTTATATATTTTAATTGAATGAGTAATTTTTGAACAATATTTAAAATAAATTTTAATTTATTAATCAAAACATGATCACTTTATAAGGAGTTCTTATAAATATTAAGGTTTTATAAAATAATAAAAATATTTTATACCTAGTTATTTATTTAGAGTAAAATTAATTAATTAATTTCACTAATTTTTTCATTTAATTATTTTAATCCAGTTTAAATTTTATTTCGTTTATTTTTATGGATATAAATTAATAAATAAACCTTAATAATCATAGTGATTAAATAAATACTGAAGGATTTAGATTGAATATACATGATATTATTGATGATATTAAATGTCAAATGGACAGTCCAGGTTACATAGGCAGAGAATATTTATTTTAACATTAATTTAAGCTTACTTAAAAAGTTGATAAAACGTAACAATTTTCTTTTATCTTATTTTTGTAAAATAATAGCTTAATTGACTGCTTCCTTTTCTCATATATCACATTTATTTATTTGATGATTCTTATTTTCTTTTTCTTTTGAAAACCAAAAATTTTAGAGAAAGAAAGTTAAGCGATCAAATATCTGACATACCTGAAGAGTATCTAGATTAAAGCGATTAAAGCGAAAATACTACTTAATAAAATAATATTTTAAGGTAAAAATATATTTTTTTACTTTATTTTGATTTTAGTTAGTAAGTAGATGAATAAATCTTTTTCTTTAATTAAAAATATATATATATTTATATGAAATAAAGCTAGTTATTTTTTTTACTTTTAATAAATTTTCTCCTCTTTAAATGTAATTTATTATAAATTAGTTTGCACCAATATTCTGGTTTTTTAGACTTTTTTTTTGGAAGTAGATTTACCAAGATTACTACTCTATCAGAAATTTAAATAAAGTAATATAATTTTTAAGTTTTTAATTCACAATTATTTTGTTGATCTTTATAAATATTAATTTTCATAATATTAAATAAATAATAAAAAAATATATTTAAAATATCAATAGTTGGCAAAATATTTTTACTACTATTGCTCAAAATATTGCTCAATATTTATAAACAAAATAAAAAAGTTAATTCGATCTTAATCTATTGTAATATAAACATATTATTTTTTTAAATTAACTAAATATTATTTACTTACTGTAAAAATTCAAATATTAAGATACTCCCTTATATTTTTACTCTCGAAATGTCATTTTTGAGTACAAAACCTTAATTAGTTAAACTTACATTTTTATAAAAATAAATTAAAACAAGTGTTTAAGGTAGCTAATTATTTAATGAAGATTAATGTTTTAAAAATTGTGAACAAATCAATAAATATGTTTAATTCAATTGCCTTAGCATGATGTAAATTAATTAGCTATTTTATTAATTTTTGATTTATTTTTTTAGCAAAAATAAAGAGAGCATAAAAGAAATTGAATAAAAGCTGAATATTGAAATGGAATAATTAAATCTTTATTTAGAGTAATTTATTTATTACATAATAATTTCTTCATTAATTTTAATAAATTTTATAGATTTAATTTCCATATATTTTTATTTAAATTATTTATATTATTTAAAATATTAAAAAAGTTTCAATACAATATGTTCAGAGGCAGCTACAGTTATTAAAAATATGTTGTATAAGTTCAAAAGTAATATCAAATTAAAGCATATGAAAAATTTTGATTTTGGAACTGTTATGAGTTCTTTAGATAAACCTGTAAACACATTCAAAATTGATTTATGCTATACGTAATTTTCTTAAAATTTACTTAATTTTTCTTTATTTTTTGAACTTTTTTAATAAATAATAATATCTAATAGATTAGAATATATTTATAGCAAGGAAGCTTAAATGATTGCAAATGCTTTAGCTAAGTGCTAAAATACCACTAAATTAAATCTTTGCTTAAGGTAGAAATCATTAAATTATTTTAGATTTTTAATAATTTTTTTTTTAATTTACAAATGTTTAAAAAATAAATATATTAGTAAAAGCTGTATAAGGGAGAAAATAATTTAAATTATTGCAAATAGTTTGGAAAAATTTGAAGAAATAACTGAATTAAGTCTCAATTTATCGTATTCTTTTAATTTAAGCTAATAAATTTTATTGGTTATTTAAATAATAAATTTATTTTATTATTATAAATTTATTCAATTTAAATTAATTATTTTTGCATAGAGAAAATCATATTGGTAGCTAAGGAGCTGAGTATATTTCAAACGCTATTAAACACTTTAGAAAGGCCATTTAATTAGATATTGATTTATCGTAATATAACATTTTACTTACTTAATAAATAAATAATTATTTTTAACTTCTTTTCTAATTTTATTTTATTCATAAAATATTTTTGAAAAATTTAATTAATAGTAAAAATGGTATAAAAGATAAAGGGGCTTAAAGCATTGCAGAAGCTTTATAATATTGTCAAAATATTACCACATTTAATCTTTCCTTAAGGTTATTTTCTAAAATTTTAATTTTTTCATACTCCCTTAAAAAAAATAATTCGATTATTTATTACTATTTTTCTTTATTTTAGTCAATACATTTTTATTTTCAAAAATTTAAATAAAATAAATATAGCTAGTGTAAAAAATTCTGTATTAATTTAAATTTTTAAGGAATAATAATATTGGTGTAGAGAGCATTAAAAATATTGTTAATTCATTGGAAATGTTCAAAAAACTATCTTAGTTGCATCTTGATTTAAGGTAAGTTTCAAGCTATTTCTAATTTTTATATGCAAATTTGTTCATATTTACCTATTTTAAATTTAATTAGTGAGAACGATATTAAAGATGAAGGAGCAAATATTTTAGTTAGGAGTTTGAAAAAATTTGAAAACATGGCTTATTTAAAACTTGTTTTAAAGTAGTTTTATTTAAAATTTATTGATTAAAATTATTTTTTTTAAATTTTTGATATAAATTTTTGAATGAATTTTAAACCTTTTAAAATCGAATAAATTAATTTTGTTAGTAAAAATGGTATTTCAAGTGAAGGAGCTATGAATATTTCAAATGCTTTGAAAAGATGTAATAAAATCGCTCGTTTAAATATTGATTTTACGTAATTCATTTCATAAAATTTATTTGACATATTTTGAAATAAAATATTTTAAGATAATTAAAATTAACTTAATTAGAATTTTTATCTCTAAATTTTAAAATCATGCTTATAACTTTATTCCGTTTTTAGATATTAATAAATCGATGGTAAAGGATTCAACAGCATCATTAACATTCTATTTAAATGTTAAAAAATTACTCACCTTAGTCTTTATTTTGAGTAATTTTATTTATATTTTTTTAAGTAAAAATAAATGAATTTTTTTGAATATTTGTATTAAAATTTATTTTTATAAATCTATTAAAATCTAATTTGAAAATATCTATTTTAGTAAAGTATAAAATGATATGAATGTATCTTTGAATATTGAAAATAACGATGAACAATCCCATAATATTACTTAATTTAGTCTTAATTTAAGGTAAAATTTATTTATCCTATAAAAAATAATTTGTTTCTTAATTATTTTAATTAACTGATTTCTTTTCTACTTCTAAGTTTAAATAAAATTTAATTTAGTGGTAATTAAATCAGTCTTGAGTAAACTAAGAATATTACACGTCGTCTAAAAAGGCGTAAAAATCTATAGAAACTAAATCTTTATTTGAAAGGTAATCATCTTGAAAATGGCCAAATTTAAATAATAGCAAATTTCTTGTAAAATTGTCAAAGTCTCACTGAAATCACTCTCAATTTAATGTAGTTTTTAAATTGGTTTGTTTATTATAAAAGTTTTTGTAATTAGTTTGAAATATTATTTCTTAGGAATAATAAAATTTTTGATGAAGGAGCTAAGGCTATTGCTAATTCTTTGACTAAATGTAGAAATCTCACACTTTTAAATCTCAATATTTAGTAATACTTTTGAATTTATTATTTAATTTTTTTAAGTTAAAATATAAATAAAATATTTTTAAAGTGGTAATAAAATAACTTCTGAAGGTATAAGCAGTATTACGAATGCTTTGGAAAAGTGTCAAATAATTAGCAAGTTGAATTTAATTTTAGAGTAATTTTAAATTACAATTTTATTTTATTTAAACATTTAAATTAAAAAAAACTATCCAAGTTTGTTTATTTTATTTTTTATTACTTTAAACAAAAAAAATATTAGTGAAATCGCTTAGGGGTATGCTATTTCTAATATTTTTGCAGGAAATTTGGCAAATAGTGAAAATTTTAGTGAATTAAATCTTCAATTTCAGTAACTTTCTTAGTTTTCATTTCTATTTTTTAAATTAATAAAATTAATTAATTACTTTATTGATTGATTATTTATGATTGAAAAGCAGTGTTGGGAATCGAAAGCTTTGATATTAAAAAAATTAATTGAAAATAGAAATTAATTGATGTTTAATTTTCATTCATTTTATTGATATCGAAATTTTCTGTCAACTCTGTTGAAAAGTAATTTGTATTATTAAAATTTTAATTATCTATCTTATAAATAGCATGCATTTCAATTATATCTCTAAAAATATTTGCAAATTGTTGAAAAATTGTTAAAATCTTACTCAACTATCTCTTAGATTCAAGTAATTTTATACTCAAGCCTTTTTGATAAATTTTTATTTTTAATAAGAAAAATATTTTGCTAATTAATATTTTAATTTGTTGTTAAAGTTGTTAATTCTACTTTATTATTTATATAATTTTTTAAAAGTTGGTGCTATCATACTACTCAAGATCTCATACATCTTCCTAAAAATTTTCAGAATCTCTATGATTAAATAGAAAAATTATAATATCTTACTAGACTTGAACTTGGTATTAGGTATTTTTTATAGTTTAATTTAATTTTTTGATTTATTAGATTCTTAAAAAACCATCCAACTAACAATCATGTAAATTTTCTAAATTAAGGAGGGTACAAGAAAAAATATTAAAAATTAATATTTGATGATTTAAATTAACTTAAATTTTTAAAAAATTTTAGCCTTAACTTCAACATTAATTTAGAAAAAAGAAGTTTTTATGTTACCATTTTTTTTTGATATACCATTTTAATTTAAAAATAATTTAAATATTATTTTTTTAGTGAACATTAAATTAAGGATGAAGGAGCTTATTGTATCTCAAGAGCTTTAGTGAAATGTTAAAATATTACTTAACTAATACTTATATTAGAGTAATTAAATAAAAATCATTATATTTAATTAATTATTTAGTTTTTAGTATTTAAAATATTTTGCTCCTTTATTTGATTTTATTAATATTTGTATAAATTAAAAAATTTTAAAGGGCCAATTAAATCACATATAAAGGAGCTTAAGAAATCGCAAGTGCTATTGAAAAATGTTAAAAGATTTCTAATTTGACTCTTAATTTAAAGTAAATTTGTTGAAATTTAATAGAGAAAATAATTAAAAAAATAAATATTATTTTGTTAACTTTATTTAAAATTTCACTTACACATTTACTGTTATGAAATAAAATGTATATTTAGCTCTAATTAAATATAAGACGAAGGAGCTCAAAGTATTTCAAATACTATGGAAAAATGCCTAAATATTACTGAATTAGATCTTGATTTAAGGTATTTTTAATTAATTTAATTTTATTAAATAAATATAAAAGAAATAATTCATATCTATATTTCTATATTTTTAAGTTCTTTAAATAATTCATTAATTGTTTACTTATTTAAATTTTAGCTATAATTAGATAAGTGCGAAAGGAAAGGATAATCTAAAAATAGCTTTAGAAAGAAGTCAACACATCATAAAATTATTTTATTCTTTTGAGTAAAATTCTTAAATTTTCATTTTTTTGAAATTATATTTAATAATTTTTTAAAGAAATGATGATGAATTTGATGTATCCTTTGAATGATTAAACTAGTCAAAAAGACAAAAAATATATCTTAATTTATCTGAAATATATTAATAGGCAAATATTTTAATTATGATACAAAAAATATTTTTATGTTTTGTTGAATTTTACTCCTGCTAAATTCTAACTTATATTTATTTATTTGTGAGTGAGTGAGTGAGTTAATTAATTAATTAAAAAAGCTAATCTAGTCTTAAAAATTAGATAAAATAAATTCAAATAAAAATACAGCAGCTTGCAAAATATTAAACCCAAATTTCCTGTAAAATTTTAGTTTTTTACTAAGTAAAAATGAATTATATACTGTTTGATATATTATCATATTACACAATTGGGCAAGAAATGTTTAAAGTACACTCTCCCTAAGTTGGTTTAAAATAGTCCCTTAACCCACTTAATTCACAAAATTTAGGTAAATTTAAAATTTTTGATTTAAAAAATTATTTATTTTTGAAATTGTAATAAATTAAATAATTTATTATAATTCTATTATAAAATATAAAAATCAGATTTTTTAATAAATACCTAAAAAATCTTTTTTCATGATAAGTGACATCCAAACGATGGAATTTTTTAATGGTTAATAAGCTAAAATTCAATAATTTTTCATTATACAAATAATTTAGTTGTATTTAGTATTCAAAAGTGTTTAATTTACAAAAACATTTATTTTTTAAATTTCATATTTGTTTTTAGTTTTAAAAATAAAAAGAATATATTTAAAATATGTTGAAATTTATTTTTAGAAAAGAAAACCAGAATTCTAATATTTTTTAATGTATTTTCATTATCGTTATCGTTTTGATTATCTATCTTTTTAATTTAATATCATAAATATGAATGATTTAAAAAAAAAAGATTGCTTTTATTTTTTTTGTGTTGAGTTATTAGAATAAAAAAATCAAAATAAAATGAAAAATTTATATAATTACATAGATTTAATTAAAGAAACTATATGTAATATAATATTGATAAAGAAGTTTGTATATTAATTTTTCTTCATATATATAACAAATTGTGTTAGTAGAAAAGTAAATAAATTGTTAACCAAAAGTCTTTTTTTTAGCTGAATTGCATAAAAATAGCAGAAAATTTTATTTAAGCATAGAATAATTACAAAAATATAAGCTTAAAAGAAATTATCAAAGTAGATCAAGTAAGCTTTGTAAACAGAAATAACATCATTGAAGAAAAAAATGATTCTTGAGAATATTCAAAATTAGTTTTTCAATGTTCTCAAAATCTTAGCTTATAAAACTCCTACATTAGATAGATAAGCAATAAATTATGAATTTATTTATAAACTGCTATCAACTCTAGCTCACTCAGATTAAATGAGCTTCCTCCATTTTTAAGCTTGCAACAATAAGGATTTATTTTTCAAGATCTAATCATCAGGGATTTTAAATGATCTTAAAATAATATTACAATTTATTATCTTAATGTCTCAATTAAAAGTTTATCTTAACAAACAAGCAAAAGGAATTACTCATTTTACTGAAATTAAGCTTTGCGAGAGTAAAATTTCTACATATTCTGTTGCTTATTTTGATTTTATAATATTTTATAAAAATTAACTTTTACCACATACCTTTTGTTACATATTAGAACGGATTACTTAATTCAATATTATTAATTTAATCATCGAAAATTTCAAACAAAAACCATCAAAAAAAGGCTTGCCAATCATATATATTTTAAATAGCGAAATTCATTAAGTTTCACAAAAAAGATTCAAAAAAATGAATAATTTGATCATTTTTAGATAAATATTAAAATAAATAAATCATTAAATAATTTAAAAATAAAATATTTTATTACATAATTTATTTTTAAGCTAATTATTTTCAAGCAAGCTTAAACAATATTATAATTCATATTTAATTTTAAATATTAAAAAAAAGGCTTTTTATGTAATTAATATTTTCATTTTTATTAAAAGTTGATTTAGGCTAACCATTTCTCCATAGCAGAATAAATATCGTTTAATCTAAGCATGTAATTTTTTTATAGTTTAAATGTATTTAAACAAATAATTTTTTAATTTATTTTACGAACTACTTGTAAAAGATTATTTAGG